AGGATATAGTCTTCACTAAGAATAACGAAATTTTTTGAAGAAAAAATCACTTTTAGCAAACGACACTAAACGTGTAGAATGTGGCATTTAGGAGTTTTACACAAAAAGTATATAAATGGAAAATAACGCATTTTTACAAAATATTTAGATTAAAGAAAACACATTTATTTCTCTACTCTTAAATTATTTGCGCATTGGAATTCTTTCTGTGTTAAAAGAAATAAACTAATATACACCTATGTTTTTCAAGATAATTTGTTATTGTTTGTAATAAATTGGAATTAGAAATTTTATATGTTTGAACCTAGCCTATTTATTCAAAGCTAGCTTTATTAAAAAACAATAATAATAATAATTAAAAAATATATATTTTAACAAATTCGAGAATAAATCAAAGAAATTCCTTCCCTAAAGAAAACTACCAACAAATCTGCTGAGATAGGTAATAAAATACAGTAGTTCTATTGAGATAAATGAATAAAATTAAATATTGTGAAACAAAATAAATATGTAAAATTTATAGTCCTCTACCCTTACTACCGATTATTTATTTCTTGAGTGATGATAACACTAAACCACTGTAATTACGTATTCTCATATATGTATATATTATATGTACAACAGGACTATAGAAAATTCTCGATTATACGAGACGTGTGTCTCAAGGCAACACGTCGAGTTTCGAGGATTTTCTATTGTCGAGTTGTATATAGAGTACACCAGGAATTCTCCTCATATCCTTCCATTGATTGTCATATCCGTCTGATTTTTCTAGTTAGTTCTTCTAGTTGAGTATCCTTATTAGTGTTTACCGAAATCTAAATATTTACCTTGTTTTATTCCCTTTATTTATTTCCCCTTTTCATATCTATTTCACTTTCTCTTTACTCACAAAACAACTACGGTTATTTTACAACATTATCAGCGCATTTTTTCCATACACTTATTAAACAACAAGACAATAGAAAATTCTCGATTATAGGAGACGTGTGTCTCAAGGCAACACGTCGAGTTTTGAGGATTTTCTATTGTCGAGTTGTATACAGATAGACTATACCATGAATTTAAAAAAAATCCTTTCGTTCTTTTATAAATGGCTAATGCTACGGTTTCTATAAATTATTATAAGGTGGAAGTAAAACATGAACACGTGCCCCCTCTCAGTTTTGGGCCTTATTAAATGTCCAAGGTCGCACGACAAATACCACACGCATCTGTATAACTGGTTGCCTAAATGCTTCATATCTTTTTAAAAAAATAAAACTAATTCATTATAATAAAAAGAAACAAATTTTATTGCGGTACATATCCCAGTAAATGTTGAAAATATTCACCATTTTGTTCAAGGCACATGTTCACTCTCTTTTTAATTTCAAAAATGTTCACACAGACTCTTCGTTTACGAAGTCCTATTGTGAGAACAAGACAACAATGAAAGTGTCTTGTCCAACAGAATAAACCATTTTCAGTCTTCGCTTCCTAGCACAAAGACAAAATTTTCGTACGCAACCACCAAAAAAACGACTGTTTTGTTGTTTTGAGTTTGAAACAACGAGAATTACTATAATTCACACTTGAAAAATGTTAAAGCAATAAAAACGACGACTTTAAATGACAGATTAGAAATGATATTAATGACAAGTGAGACCTGTCATAATGAGGCATAATTTCAGCGAAACGAGATTGTTGAAATCCATAGCCAACTATGTATGTAGTAGCATTACTTCTCAACAAAAGTGTATCCTAACTTTTCTGTTCATTACAAATCTTTCTACAATTAAGTACATCATAGGTTTTCTTCTAAATGGAGGACTAAGTAGTCACTCATGGTTTAGGCCTTTAGTGGTCTAAAATTATCTTGAAACCATATTTACAGTAGGTACACACTGTTTCTTCAATATTTTCACAAACTCTTTCGATCTATAGAATACAAAGCAAAATCTAAATTCTAGATCTTCAAGAGATGCACATAGTCCTCCTTACGTTTTATCTAGTTCTTTTTCCACATACCTACACTACATTTTCTTTCAGAAATCCGTTTGTTCATCTGGTAACACCTTCTTAGTTTTTGATATAGTTACTTAGGTCTTTTAATGTTATTCTCTGTGACATTGCGGTACCCTTTTCTTTTTTGGTGCTTTCATCCTTATAAGACATGTGCTGGGTTAATTAGTCTGTAGTTTCCTCTATGAACTGTTATTGTTCATTAGAAAAGAAACTATTATATATTATTTTTTATTTACATGGTTATCGTGTTTTTCTTTTAGTAATCAATTCTTAGTTAATTAGTCCAACTGATTTTTCTTTATATCTTGTTTACTTCTTTCAACATAGTTTATTTTTTTACAGTCATTAGTTAGGTAATCCAAAAAGTTCTGATGCTTTTCGTCCGCCAGGATAGGCATTCGTATATCTGTATTTTTCTTCTCTCTTTTGTTTTCAATCCCGTATACCCCACTCAATCTCTTCGATACAATCTATGCATTTCTCCCCTCTTTGTTGATTATTTCATGTTTATATATTTTTTATACTTTCTTCATCTGTCCTGTTGCACTGTTCTTATATTCTTGCTCTAAAATCACATTTTGTTAGGTATGTTTCTTTCGCACAGTCCTTTCCACTTCTTTTCCTTTTTCTGTATTATTCTGTTATTTAATGATACCTTTTAATTCATTTTGGGCAACAATCTTTTCAGCTACTGTTGTTTTAATTCTCTTTCTGTGTTTTCTTTTTGAATATTGGTATTTAGTATTTCTGTTCTATTATACAGAATCCTTTAAAATATTCTGAAAATCTGTTCTTTATTGATTACACTCCTCGTAGTACTGCTTTTTATTTCTTCTCGTGTATGTTGTTCATCTGTTGGTAATTCATTTTTACACATCATGTTCTTGTAGGTCTTCCAACATTCCCCTTTTTCTTTGATGGATTTGTCTTCTTCCAATTTTGCTTTTCTGCTGTTTTGATTTTTTCTGTTGTTCTCTTCACCCCATCTCCTTTGATTTTGGTTTTTCTTCCTACTTGTTTTTTATTCCAAGGCATTTTTCCTTCATTTCATCGCAGTAAAGCTTGTTTGCCTGATTTTAGTGTGATTTTTTTTATACATTTTTCTTCTATTGCAACTTTCTTTGTTTCTTTTTATATTCACTTTCTTTTTTCGTTAGATCATCATCTAGATGATTATTACACATACAGGTTTAAAGATTTAGGATGTATTGTGGATGCTGAACTGTCATTTGTGCCCCATGTTAAACAACATATTAATAATACATATAATCTTTTCAAAAATATTAATAATATGGAAGCTGTGGTACACCACGGTTATAAAATCTAAGTTGGAATATTGCAATATTTTATTCAACCCATTTGGTACATGGTAATTTAGATTGTCTAAACTTATTATGTTAAATTAAGTTTAACGTTTCACGTCCAGGGTTAAGAACATGTTTAACTTTTCACTATGATACACCTACTACAAACCAACACTTGCATTTACCGCTTGTTAATATGTGTTATGGAATCTATAACAATGTTGAATTGTTCACTAAATTTGGTAGTTTTAAAAATCATCAAAAATTGTACTGTTGTAAATACTTATTATGTATGTACCTTTTCTTGTTAGTTATGTATGAACTAATTTTGTATTTCTGGGAGTGTATTGTATGTACCCTCTAAAAATATTTCTTGTTTGTTGGGTTAATGAACTATTATTATTGTGAATACAAATATATTACGTACATTTTTCCAGTAGTTACTACCTATTGTAAACTAATAATGTGTAACCTCTGTTATATGACATTTGACTATAATTCTTATTACGAGTAGGTGGCAAAAGTCGTCGTCTACTTTGATATATAACCACTTACTGACGTTTTGTATGAATTAGGTTTTGTATCAAGTAATAACGCGTCCCTAATTTGTTAAAAAGCGCCTTCATCCGGGTAAAGTTTTTGGAATAGGAACTGCGCAAAATACGATGGTACTCGGCCTAACCAGGCGGTACCACGATCTCCATCAATCAGCCGTCCACAGGAAGTACCCCGAAACTCATATGTCAAGGTCCGCCATAAAAGTACCGAAATAATCTCTTCCCAGCCTCCTCGAAGGCCCACCAAAATGGCCTCCTTCCGCCATTTTGCGTCCGATTTCCTATTACCGCAGTGGATCTCATCGTCGCATAATAGTCAGACTGTGATGCAATATTTAAGGAGTACACGACCCAATTCACGTTAGTTTCTAGGCTCGCTGCGATTTTCCCAACTTTCCCTCTCAACGGAACCCGCCTGTCTCTCTCGCAGGCCGTAATGGCTGTCCGTCCGACAGAGACAGACCCATCCACGTACCCACGAGCGTTGCAAAAACCCACCGTGTCGTGGGACCCGTTCGGCCTACTAAACGAAAGTGAAATCGAGGTTAGCTTTGCACTTTCACTTGTTCGCCGCGTCTAGCCCACGAATCGGCCAATCAGAACGCGAATTCGCCGTGTGTTTTGTCGGTTTGAATAAATCGAGGCATGGCCTACTTTGGCGGAGTCGCCGGACATCTAGAATTTTGTTGTTTTGTTGTACGGTTTTTTGCTTTCGTTGCTGGACTGATTCTTGTTGAATCACTGAATTGCGCACTGTTAGGTAACGCTGCGACGTTGCGGTTCCGCTCGGAAGTGGCGGACATCCTGTATCTGGTGGCTTTTCCGCGAGAGATGGCGTTGCAGACGATCGTTCGGGTTCGGGGAAGCGGTGTTCTACTTCGGGGGTGACTGGAGAATTCCGGCAACTACGACCTTGCGCGTTTTCAAAAGTTGGGAAATACGTTTTTGCACTCATGACCTTTTTTGATAGCTTTCGCGCATTCACCAGAGTGCGGGAGGTCGAATTTCCCGCACACGTGCATTTAACTTCCCGTTGCCATGGTAACCTTAAAATACTCGGGTAGTGTCAACATTGTGACGTGTTGACGGCGCTGTCAATGGCGTTGTTTATAAATAACTCACAGTTAATCTCTTCAGTTTAAAGGTTTATTCGTCGCAAAAAATATTGTACACAACACGTTCGTGAGCCTGCTTCCCGCATTCACGCAAATGCGGCACTCCCTTCGGTCGTGCCTCAAACAAGCGTTCATGCGGGAAGCAGGCTATCCCGAACTAGTTGCGTAAATTACTATTAATGGACTGCTGGCGCGGGCTGCTTTCGAGGAATTGTTTTCACTAGTCACCTTGCGCAAGGACGAAGGATCGAACACAAAGAAGATTCTTTATTTGTTTATGATTTTAATAATTCTTTGCGAGGAGAGGTTTCGAGGTGATTTTTGGGGAGTCGCTCTAAGGACATGTATTGCTTTGTTTGCACCAGGTAATTACGCTCTTATACAAAATTACATCAGGTGTCGTAATGTACATGAAAACTTCTTTGTCTACTACTACTTTACTGAAAAGTATACACTTCTCCTGTTTTTAATAAAGTAATCTGTAATAAAATTTATTCCTCCTACAAAAAGATTACCAAAATCGATTCTAGAAAACACAGGTTCAGTGAAAGATCTATAATGTTGTTGATATTGTGGGTGCTACGAGAATCCATGACAAAGGTTCTCCCACACATAATTTGCATGGCAACACGACACTTTTGAAACAGCATAACAAATGTTATCCATCTGGACAGTTTAAGAAGTTTGTTACATTTATCAAATTTGTTTTCCTTTTTAGACTATAATAACTGTTTTTGTCTGACTTTTCCGACAGCGGAGGTCCTAATCTCAGGTCTTTTATAACCCTCAAGCTTTTTCGCAAGTCAAAAGATGCCTTCGTCAAGGTAAAGATACATGGAAGGAATTTATACAATTATTTATATAGTGCTCCCTTCGCCTTTGAAGCAGGTCACTTCTGCATGTATGTTAGAAGTATCCTTCAAAGATTAATTAATTAATTTTTCATTAGGACATAAATTTCGTTGTTCCGTGATGTCATCGGCTTTTATGAAGAGTGTGAATACCTAAGTAAAATTTCTTTGATATTTTGTAGTCGCAAAAAGAATGTTTGTGATGGTCTTATTAAAACTTTTAAACAAATACTGTTACTCAAAACAAATTTTACTTATACAGGGTGCTCAAAAAATTGCGCGCTAACACAACGATACATTATTAAGTCTCAGAGTCTAATTTCGAGAAAAACCATTAAAAAGCTTCTTACGTCAAATTGACGGTCAGTTACAAAAAGTTTTTTGTGATTTTATAAAATGAAGAAAATTATGGACAAATACAAGATATGTACCTCCAAAATAATTTTGAATAATGCAAGTCCGAACGATTTCGTGTATCCACTAGTAAAGTAAATAGTGAATGTAAATACCGAAAAGAAAAATTAACCTTTGAAGTATCATTTCCCCAACATTTGGTTCCACTGATTTTTAGATTATTTTTTCTCGGCTGAATGAAAAGTCCTTAACAACGTGTCATAGAGTTACACAAAACTCACTTGACTTACTCCTTGTAAAACTTTTATGACTTAAGCGGCTTAAGCCAAACCACCCATAAGTCAAACTGGTTATTGTAAACTTTATGGACCCGAACTGCAAGGATTATTATTATTACTGTCCATTGTTGCCATAATGGAGCTGTAAAGTTTTACTAGGTATATGTGAACTGAGTTCAACAATAGCCAGTTTGACTTATAAGGGTGCTTTGGCTTAAGCCGCTTAAGTCATAGAAGTTTTACAAGGTGTCTGTCAAGTGAGTTTTGTATAATATACCTATTTGGGAACAGCTTTTATATGCAAATAAAAATACAGTGTATCAGTCTGCAACCCAAAATACACCCGTCAAGTTCAAGTTACGCAACACGTTTCACTACTGACGTAAGCGTCATGGATAACTAGAGCAGAAACTTAAAAAATCACCCCGTATAAAAATAACTTCTACTTTTTATCATTATTATTAAGTTACAGACAACGAAGAATGGTGCATGTTTCAAGTGACATTTTCTAAATATAATTTTCCGTTGACGTCATTTATTAATAGTTTACTTCTGACAAACTTCGGGACGTGTGGCGCTAATTCTAATAGCAACAGCACTGCGTCCGTAGAATTTTGGTACCTACAGTTAATTAATCCATTTTTCATTTAATCATTCTTTAAAGTTTCTGAGAAACAGTTAAAACATACTTATTTTTTAAAAAAAGTAAAACTTTTATGAGGCTAGGGAGGAAATGAATATACACATAAAGCTGATTTATAAACACCAGAACATTAGTGTATTGTAAAATTTCAAAAAATTCGGTACTTATGTTCTATTTCCAAGTGTAAAGTTTCGTTTCCGAAATTTTATTTTTTTTAAGTTAATTGGTGTACGTATTGTTAAAAATATGGACATATTATTAAACTGCATATGTAAAAACACGTGACAGTATAAATTTTAAAGGACATTAACTTTACTAAATTTTGAGATGACGTCTTCAAATTTTTGATGGTGATGAATAAACAAATGTTGGTTAACATTTACTACACAATAATTTTAAAATATACATACAATTTTACAATACCTACGTTGTCGAATCGCACGAAGTAATTCTCAGACAGACAGACGGAAATGGGAGATCGACATTTCCGTATTCTATAAGAAAACCTTATGAATAAAATTACATGTAGGATACATAAATCTTGATATTTGTAATTTTTACAGTTGTTATATAAGAGTTATTTATTCTACAAGAAGATAAAAAGAAAATTTACCCACCAATGCAAAGAACAAGCATAGCGAGCGAGTTGAGTAAATTTTATTTTATACTTTCATCGTTTTTTTCTTTAATATTTGAAGATAATAAAATTCCGCAACTTTGCAATGCAATATTTGGCTGTGGGTTTTACGTAGCAACCAAAAAAGGTGGTGTCAACGAGGAAATTATCCTGGCGTATTAATCTGAAAGTAGGTAATAATTTAAAATTTGTTTTTTAATGTGAAATTTAGTGAATTAGCGAATATTAGAGTAAATACATTTCTACTTCCATTTCGGCTTCTATGGTTATAAAAAATGACTGAACGATGTATAAAAATGACATACACTTTACCATCACAAAAATTGTCGGTAAAACAGAAAATAACAATAAGTATAAAATAAAAAAAATATATTCGTGAACAGAGAAAAAAATGGTGACTTTTTGAGATTCCAGTCATTGTAGCCAGAGAAATATTAGAACCTAGCCATTTGTAGAGGCACATCTATCGGTGGTAATTTTAAACCTATGTGCAGTTCTGTTCAAAAATATAATAAACTGTAAAATATAAAGAGTTGTCATTTCGTGAGAAACGAACGTTTCGTGCGGTAGCATCATTTCTAAGTATTTTTTTTACATCGATAAGTAAGTAGTAACATATTGATTTGAATATGTACAATGTAACACTAAATATATTGTGATTTTATTTTCAGAAATACAGTAACTCTGAAAGAAACGAAAAGGTAGTATGTATCTCCAAAAGCAAGCAACATTACATGGCAGAACGTATTTTACTAAAAGTTGAACTTATTTGTTTTAAGATGATGTAATTAAATTTCAGGATGGAATGAAGTATAAATTTTAGTTGAAATTTGTACTGAGTTAATTTATGTTAGTGACAAAATTTTGAAGAAACCCAATACAAAAAAAGTTTTAAATAATTTGAAGATCTTAAATGCTTCTGAAAACTCGATCATTAATTTAAAAGATACATATTTTTTAAATGTAAAATAGATATTTGTCTATTTCGAGTTTTTAAATTTCTTGCGTTTATGTTGGCATAACGGAGGTAATTGTGTATGCCAATCGTCGTCACATGCGATAAATTTAGGTTATGGTTTTGACACATTTTGCAAATTAAAAATGTCGACAATCTGTCAGTTTTGATTCTTGACAGCTGACAACCGGAAATTACAGAAAACATTATGACATCAATTTCAACTAAAAGTTCAGGATTGCCAACAGACTCAGTCATTTCTGATCACGTGGTGGTAATGCAAAAAAAGGATAAACAAAAATCCAGAATCAAACTTTATTAAACAGTGCAGTTTATGTAAATTTTACATGTTAGTTAGTTTTTTATATTTTATAACTAACTCAGCATGTATTTTGTTTCTTATAATATTGTCAACACAACACATAAAAGCATCGTTTTATTGACGGTACACGTAGCACTTTTCCTATACTATTTATTATTTTATTATTTCATAAACGTATCTATCACATGTATATGTTTTCCCAGAAAGTTTATGCCGCAACTTATTTATTTGATTATAAATAGCAAAATATGTAGCAGTTTTTAGATATTAAAGCAATCAAAAATAAAATTAGGTCAATATTTCCGGCATTTGCTGAGTCTTTTGTTTCCCTACTTAATTTCATCATATTTCGTCTTTTCCACTCGGACTGTGAAATCTCGATAACAGATAATAATGTTTAAACAAAAATTAATGCACTTAAAATAGTCATCGATTTAAAAAAAGTATATTCTAAAAATTAGTAGTTGCATAGCTCAGCCTTCGTCAAGGGCGGAGATTAAACCAACACTTGTCGTATCGTTAATTTCTTTATTTTGTTGTATCGGCAATCAATTTACTATTTCATCACTGCAACACAACGTAAAGTTCATATGTAGTTTTTGTTTTTACCAATCTATTTTCCTAAATTAACTTTTTGCGGATTATATAAGCTTCGACCTGCATTGCCGATAAAAAAAAATAATTATAATTTTAAAGGTTACTTGTCTGCAAGTTTTTTTAAACCGTTATAAAAGTTACGCTGTTTATGGTACACTAACAGAGTATCTATCAAATCGGACACATAATAACTTTAATCACTTTATAGCATAAATTAATTTTTATGTAATGCCCACCGGGCAAAATATTACACGAAATTTCTAAATATGCGGTCACTCGAATCTAAAACATCTTTCATTCTTTTGCATGAAATAAAAACATTAAAGTTATTGCAACACGTAATGAAATTATACGTCTACTTAAGTCAGTTCGTGACGGTTTCAGATTTCAGGAAACATTCGAAAGCGAATCTTCCCGCTCCTGGCTGTCACTATTTTGTTTATTTTCTCGTTCTCTTTTCATTTAATTATCTATATAAATTGATACACAGGGCTTTTGAGAAGTCACCGAATTGTATAACTTAGGAAGGACATCACTAAACAAGATA